AGACAGACAGACAGACAGACAGACAGAGACAGAGAGAGACACAGAGAGAGACACAGAGAGAGAGAGTGTCTGTGTGTATATATACATGTGTGTGTGTGTGTGTGTGTGTGTGTGTGTGTGTGTGTGAGAGAGAGAGAGAGAGAGAGAGAGAGAGAGAGAGAGAGAGAGACAGAGAGAGAAAGAGACAGACAGACAGACAGAGGCAGAGAGACAGAGAGAGCTCTTTGCACGCACGAGAACGTCAAGTCTGTCAGGATATATAATAATGGAGTCCCGCGGAGAGAAGAAAGGTTTGCCGTGCCAGGGTGGCAAGTCCGTCAGCTGGAACTATCCAGGGATTTCCTCTTTTCACTTCCACTGGCTCTTTGTCGCCATCTTCCCTTGCCCCAAATACACGTCTCCGAGGGGTTTCGGGTAGCAGGACATCCAGTTTTCGCCTGTCTCCTGTTCGCCTTGTTATTTTCCCCCCTTTTTTCTGCCGTTATTGTGTTGTTTTTTCTAGAATTCTCTTCAGGGGATTGTTCTTCCTTGTTGAAGAGATGGTGATGATGATAACGTCTTCCCGTCTTCTTCTTCTCCACCCCTCTTTCCATTTTCTGTACATCACTGTCCCATGCTTCCTTTTGGGTTCTTTTCACTTAAGATAAACATTTCTATGCGCCATGTAAGTATGTATTTATAATTGGTCACTTTTAAGCACAAGGGGGCTATCCCAAAAAGTGCTGTTTTGAGAAAATCGAAGGTAAAGTTTTTGCCCCTTGTTCAGTTTCTTTAAAACACAAGGATAGTTTTGTCAGTAGCCAAACAAATATACACAGCAATGAAACCAAACTTCTCCTATAGGTAGGGCAATGCCCACTTTTGGTGTAGGTCAAGATTTCTGGAAACCCCCGAAATCTGGGTTTGCCCGCTTATCCTTCAAAGTGACCAATTCTGTATTTATGTATGTATGTTTGCCATTGTAAACCAAAGTACCCTTCTGGGACAAATAAAAGTGTAGTGTAATTTATTTTATTTTTAAATCATTATTTCAATCTACCTAGGAGTATATTATTCGTGTTACTACGATGTTTCCTTTATTAAGTGGTTTGTCGATCAATTCTAAACAAACGAAAGCACTCAGGTCTTCCTAATAATATGTTAGCTACTTTTTAACAAGGGAAATACTGAGGATGCTTTAGGCGGTGCTGATCAAACTGATCCAAACGTACCCCTTGCGTACATCCACGTGGGAAAACGAATTACTTTCGTTTTAATAAGAGTTTTGAGGCACTTGCAACACAATCAGGTCATATACGTGTTGGGGATTGAAGGTTTAGGATCCAAATATAAAAAAACCCTTTAAAAACCCCCAACAAATCGACAAAGTTAAGTACCCTCCTTAAAACAAACAAATAAAACAAACAAAACAAACAAACAAAAAAAAGTAAAAGATATCCTCCCCAACAAAAAAACCCCCCAATTAAAAACAAAAAAGAACCGCACACACAAAAGAAAAAGAACATCTATCTATGTATCTACCTACCCTTCCCACCTCCTCAAACGTTCA